TCCCCATGACTGCATCCCTGAGGCCCGGCACCTAGCAGGTGCTTAGGAAATGAATGAATGAGTGAACAAATGAATGAATGACGGCTCCCCGGTGGCCCGAAAGGGACAGTGTGGAGTGCATTCCACAGCAGTGGAAACTTGCTCTTTCAGTTGAGGACTAAGCCACCCACAGAAATGTAAGGCCCAAAGAGCAAGCAGACCTCCCAGCTGCTGGCGGTGGCTCTGGCGATGGGTGTATTCCTGTGTTTTGCAGTTGAAATCAGGATGAAGGCTCTCCTTGAGACTCCAGGCACTGTCAGGAGGGGCCAGCCCCAAGTGTCAGTGTTGGTGACAACTAGGAAGCCTCTAAACTCATCCAAACACTCCCCAGAGAGCCAGGCAGCTCTGCTGGGCACCGAGGGGAATGTAAGAGCAAGAGTTAAGAAGGAAAAATTGCTGAAAACAAGACGTCTGGGAAAATGCAGTGATCAACCAAACCTTGGCCTTGGCTTCCCCACAGAAAGAGAGCTCTGATAGCTTCAAATAGAGCTCTAAATTGCTCTCTCTTTGAGGGATTTGAAAGACAAAAAGCAAAAGTGGCTTTTAGCTCCTGGAGTGGGCAGAGCAGGAACAAAATGGAGGCAGAATCAGCTGCCTTTTCTCATTTTGCAGTAACTGGTTGAATGAGGAGGCCACACAGTCTCCCGAGATGCCCACGCATGGAGACGCACGCACGTCAGCTGAGTGGTCAATGTGCCCCACCACCCGCAGCTCGCTGGCTCTCCTTTCTAAACAGGAAGTGTCAACACAACTTAAACACAAGGAGAAGTGTAAAGACAGGTGAGGCATCTTCCCAATTGGCCTGGAGTGTCGAGGATGAATGGAGACCATGACTCTAAACTGCAGGTCGGTTCCTCACACAGGCTGGTTCTGCCATGAAACAAGGAGGCTTGCAGATGCCCCAGAGCCCCCCAGTGACTCCGGATGGAGGTGTGAGGTTCCAGTTGCAAGATCAGACACACCATTCCCTTTGCGCTAAGCATCCCTGACCTCAGCCGAGAAGTGTCCTGCCGTCACCTTACAGGCACAGAGTTCAACCTCCCCGCGCCTAAATCTGGTCTCACCCCCACTTCTGAAAAACTGTGCTACTGACCAGGCCTGGCTGAGGGGTGCTCGCCTCAGAAGCGGGCCTCTGCTGGGTGGGTGGCTCCCACCTCCCCAGTCTCACCCATGGGGCTGCGTGCAATCTGACAAGTCTCCTCCCCAACTTCTTTGTTTTCAAATTTTTTAATCACCTGATTTTTAAGGGTTGTTTCCCTGGGACCGCACCTTATTGTGTTGCTCAGGCTGGCCTTGGAGTCCTGGGCTCAAGCAATCCTCTAGCCTCAGCTTCTGGAGCAGCTGGAACTGTAGGCACCTTGCCTACAAATCTCCTTCCGGTGCAGATTTGCTACAATATGAATGGACCTGGAGGACGTGGGCCCGAGTGAAAGAAGGCAGACTCGAAAGCAAAACAGTCAGTGACCTCACTTAGGTACGGACTTTAAAAACCAAAGTCCAATGCACAGAGAATAAAACAGTGGTCACCAGGAAAAGGAGGGAGGGGACAGGCCGATGCCGGTCAAAGGACAAGGAGGAGCAGACGCAGGATGAACAAGTCAGAAGAGCTAGGTCCAAGAGGAGGACGACAGGTGCCCCAGTGAGTAGTGGCTCACATTCCAGGTTTTGTGTTACAGGCAGAGCCACATGAGTGCCTGCTTTTTGCCACAGGGGAAAATGAGTGATTATGTGGGATGACGGATACGCTAATTTGCTCTGCCATAGTGACCATTTCCCCGTGTATGTATGCATCTTCTAACACGTTGTACACCTTAAATATACACAATGGCATTTGCTTTTTAAAAGCGCGGATGACGCTTCCTTGGGCTCATCTCCAGGTTAAGAGCAGTTCTCCGAGGCGGTCGTGTTCTGAACACCCTGGAATGCAGCCAGCAAGGTCCTGGAGAAGGCAGTTCCAGTGTGAGGCCACAGAGAGGCGGCCGGAGCAGACCCTGAAGGTCAGCTGGGAAGGGCTCCTAGCTCAACTGGGAAGTGTTTCCTCCCCAGGATTCCTGACAAAAAGAATATTCAGATAGATTCTGGCTGGAAGCATTATCAGCTGTGGGTCCTGGATGGGGCTGGCTCATGGGGGCTGCTCACCAGGAGAGCAGGAGCACGTTCCCCCAAAGATGCTCTCAGATTAGATGCAGATGGAGAACGTCTGAAGACATGACAGGGCCTGGCATTCCAGGGAAGGTCCCAAGAGGACACCCCATGTAGCAGCATGAGGGTCAGGACCCAGGATGAGACAGGTGGTTAGGTGTGCCAGGGGACTCTGTTTCAAAGTCGTATAGCCAAGGAACATGGCGGTAAGAGGAAAGGGAATGTTTAATGTAGAAGTTAGAAGGATGAGGACTGAGGAAAGGCCACTGGGCTTGGGGTCAGGAGGTAGCAATGGCAATGTGAGGGGGACCCCACCAGCACTGCTCAGGGGTGCTGTATGGGCCAGGGCTCTCTACGGCCTCAGACTCTCAGGGCTAGGATCAGAGCTTTCAGGTGACTTTGATGCTCACTGAAATTTGCAAGTCACTGCTCTGGACATTTCAGATAGAAAAGGCCCAAATGAACAGACCAGACAGGGGCTGGGGATGTGGCTCAAGCGGTGGCGCGCTCGCCTGGCATGCGTACGGCCCGGGTTCGATCCTCAGCACCACATACAAACAAAGATGTTGTGTCCGCCAAAAACTGAAAAATAAATATTGAAATTCTCTCTCTCTCTCCCCCCCCCCCGCAAAAAAAAAGATTAAAAAAAAAAAACCAGACAGGAAATCTTGTGTTTACAGCATCATCTTCCCTCCAGAAGGAAGCTAAGTCAAGGTACTGTGCACGCAGTCATGGTAGAGGGTGAGGCAGGCAGGAGCAGGCGGCTCAGGAGGCCTGTGGGGGGCAGGTCTCAGACTCTGTGACCCCTGAACGGCAAGATGCACGGACCATGGATGAGACAGGGACACACTGAGGTTAACAAGGAGACAGTGGAGAGAGTTTGAGTCAGGTGAAAACATCCTGTCACGCCCTACGTGGTTTCTGTTATTGAATTATCGTTGTCTCTGTGAGTAACACAGCATGGTAAGGAAGCAAAACAGCTAGAGCCTACCCACAGTCAGACACTCGACAGGCACACCGCTATTTCCCACAGGCCTCCTGCAAGCTCCGCTGCCCCAGGGCCAAAGTGAATGCGGCTCTCACAGTCTTCCTTTCTTCCAGATCCAGAACAAGGCCCTGTCTTCTGCGAGCATGGGATTGCCAACTGCTGACAGACCGCGTGGAGGCGGACACTCCTCCTGAATCACTGGGTCTCACAACTGCTGCTTACCACAGGGGTGGTCCCCACCTTGCATCCCAGTCATTCTTCTCCTGACTAAAGCGATCAGCAAACCAACAGAAACCAGGAACACTGGGTTACTCTTGGGCAAATCTCTCTCTGGCCTGGACTGAGCATGTTGTCATGAATTAGTATCTGCTTACAGAGCCCTGAGTTCTCTGGAGGAACTGGCGTTGTGTCTGCCCAGCCTGGCTAAGGTGGGTGGGGTAAAAGCCAACCTCATGAACTATAGCAGGAAGCTCCATTTGCCCCTTGGTCCCACCAATGTTTAGGGTGGGGCACAGAACCTACCCATCCTGTGGCTGTGGTCAGGGCCACTCATTGTCCCCAAGGAAGTTCCCATGGAGGCTAGTAGGTAAAGATAAAGGGTTTCACAGGAGGGTCTCAGAATGTCCTGGGTCGCTTATCCAGGTAAATGTGGGATAAACTTGTTTCCGAAAATCTAGGGAAGAGGGGAAGAAGGGGGAGAGATGAAACTGGAAAAATAGTTGAGGACCACCCTACAGAGGGCCCAGAATGCCACAGTGACAGGACTTTACTCTGTAGACAAGGAGACAATGGCAAACATTGTTAACGAACGTGTACTGGCGTCCACACACCAGCTGGTGGGGGTGGCATCACGAGCTCCTCTTGGACTCTCAAGGCCTGTGTGCCAAGTGGGCAGGTGGAAACTTCTCGCCGAGTGAAGTGCAGGTCACTGGTGGGAGAACGTCTTGGGCAGCAGAAGAAGAGCTAAGCCTAGAACCAGACTGCCTATGCTCCACCCCAGCCTTGCCAGGTATCAGCTGAGGGGCCTGGCAGCCCTCTGTCTGCTCATCTGTAAAATGGGGGCACTCATTGTTTTCAGATGCCCATATTGTTGGGAAGATTAAAGTAAGAACGACTGACAAGTATTTGGCACTCGGTCTGCACTAGCTGAAATAATTCTTACAGGACCACCTTAGTGACAACAGGATGTAAGCATGTGGCTGGTCACGAATGTCCATGCATCGCCTTGCCCTGACGAATGACGGACACACCCGCTATGGCAAACACTCCTCCACACAAACACCCCATGGCAGACTGGCATTTCAGGTGGTCCCCGCTCAGCAACTCTCCTACCACGACCGAACCCGAGTGTTTCCTGGCTTCAGAAAACAGATAAGGAATTGAGAGGTCCTGAATTAGCCTCAAGTCACCTTTGCTGAGTGACTGGGGTGCATGAATGACCCAACAGCCCCAGAGGATGTTTCGGGTGGCTGGCAACGTTTGCTGACAGTGTCTAAGGAAATGCTACCTCGGTGTAGACTCCTCTCCCCTCGGGTTAGGAGACAAGTGCAGCAGGACTTGGGAGTCTCCAGAACATGGGTGTCAGGAGCAAGCATCAGAGAGAAGGGCGAAGGCTGCATGTTCTGTCCTCCTGGACCCAGGGTGAGAAGGTTGTTGTGGCCAGGCCTGGGATGGACCAAGTCAATCCTTAGCGCACTCGCGGGGCGATCTGCATGGAAGACCCCTGTGGCAACTCTGTCACCTCAGCGCTGGTGAATGAGTTCCCCCTGGGAAAGGGGTTCTAGGGTCAAACCACACGGCAACTTGGGAGGCGAGGGACTGGTGAGCTTACCTCCACGTACAACAGGGGGAAGATCCCAATCTTGTCTCCCAGCATGCCTTCGGCCCAGTTATCGTCCACTCTTCGGATCACGGTCAAAACTTCATCCTGAGGTTTCCGGAGCCCACCAAGTAGACACACAACGCCAAAAAGGGAAAGAAGAGACTGGTCAGTCCAGCTGAGGCCCAGGAAAGATCCTACGAAGGGGGCATCGTCCATTGGGACCTTGGTATGTGAAAAAGCAGAGGTCCACAGCTTTGCACAGTTTGCCTCTGCTTCTCTCTGTCTCTCTGAGGCTATTGACTCTAGCTGCAGAGACCCCTCAATGGGAAAGCCGAGCATTTTACAGTGTAGTTAGCACTTTAAAACACGTGCTTCTATCATTTATTTAATGAAATGAAAATATCTTGAATGAAAATAAATTCAGCTAAGTAGAAAATGTTTCAAGTTTCTGGCTTCATCAAAGAACAAAAAAGAAAAATAACCCGATCCAACTACATTTATTTAGAGTCTCGAGTACATAAAGCTTTGAATAACCCCCTTCCATTCTTTGGCGTATCAGAGGAGACCAAGTATAAACGTACAAAGCAGAAACAGACGGAAGGAGACGGGGAGAGGCGGGAGGAGGAGGAAGGAAGAGGAGCTTTCAAGGGAGCCAAGCCTGGGAGACAGACTGTCGGTGAGGAAGGAAGTACCCAGGTATTGTCAGAGGTGCCAGGGGCCCCAGAGACAAAGGGCAAGGACGCAGGGTGACAGAAAGACAGGCCTGAGAGGAGATGGGGACTGACAAGGGAAAGTCATGGGAGGAGCCCTGGAGAGACAAACACAGCCACAGCTAGTGCCAGGAGGACAGAGACCACTGCAGGGATGCCCCGGGCAGGACTGGCGGTGCCCCCCCCCCCCTGACCAAGTCACTCTCCTGGAACTGTCTTTCCTTTAGCAAGCAGCACACAATACCTTCTCCCATTGAAACCTCCCTGACCCCTGTCAGCAGCTGCTAGGAGCCCAGCTGGCACTCTGATAGGAGGGACGGCCCAAGGCAGCCTAGGGGATTAACCCCCATTAGATCTGAAGGGGCCATCTGCCTTCTCCAAGAGCCTCCGTACTGTCCCTTGAAGAATTAAATGGGCCTCGTGTTCGGCAGACTTCCTGTGGTTATCGGGGAAGCTGCTGCACACGGGGAGATGAGGAGCTGCACAATTTGGGGTGTTCGTCAAAGGTGAGAGGGAACCACCTGATGAGAGCAGGTCACACCCTACAGAGAACTCAGAGGGAACAGCCAGGTTCAGTGCTCTGCACTGAGAACATAGCTACTGCACTACTATCCATGGAGAAAGTAGAGCACATGAGATTATGTACAGCACATAATACTTGATGACAATAAATGACTGTTCCTGGTTTATGTATTTACTAGGTTATACATTTTAACCATTATTTAAGAGTGTATTCTTGCTTACTGAAAAGAAAGTTTACTGTAAACAGGACGCGGTGTTACACCAGCAGTTGCCTCCTGCGTCTTGTGTTTACAGCATCTCTTGATTGCATTGATTTCTCTTGTGCTTGATTTAACTCAGGTTGTCATCATGGCCCTCAGAACAACAGGCTAGGCTTCAAATGTGTACCATGCCTCCTAGGTATGGAGTAAGCTTCGCCACCCAGGTTTGTGTAAGTACCCTCTGTGATGTTCACACAATGATGAAATTGCCTACTGGTGCATGTATTTATTGCTCAGGAGCGTTCCTGTCATTAAGTGACACGTGGTTGTACCCCTTTTTACGATTTATATCATACGCCAGAAATATGCAACAGGCATTCAAGGGAACCAAGTCCCTTCATGTGGGTGAGGTAGTCAGTTCTTAACTCCAAGATGGTGTTTTACAGAGCTTTCTTCCAGCAGATGCTCAGCCCTGGGAGCGTGCCGACTAGAGCCAAGTGCGGAAGACTGATGGGAGGGACATGCACACAGAGGAAAAAGACACCAGATTAATTCTGGTTAAGAAAATAATCAAAGATCCATACCATTATCTAATGCTATTTGAGAAATTAGAGCCAAAGAAATAAAAGAAGATAAAGTAAGAAGTATAAATATTAAAAAGATGGATATATATATATTTTATCTAGAAAAAGAGTAGCAACTAAAAATCAGAATAAGAATTTGAGAAAGGCTGCCAATTTTAGAATAAACTCATAAACATCTTTGGCTTTCCCATATACCAGCAGTAATCGGTTAGAAAATGGCTGACCATTAAAAACATGGTTCTGTGAATATGCCAAAATTAATTCCATAAGGATTAAAGGCGTGTTTTTAAAAACTTGAATACCTAAGAAGAAAATATGAATAGATGTTTAATCTTGAGCTGGGGAAGGTATCTTGAAGTATGATAACAAAGATTTGGCTGAAGAAAAACCAAATCCTCTATGTTAAAAATAATGAATACAAAACAAAAAAATCAAATAAACTAGAAAAATATTTGCAGAATATAGGCAAGATAAAGGCTTCCTATCCTAGCTATCAAGAGACTTTAAATGACAGTGGGGGAAAAGACAAATACTTAAAAGGAAAAATAAGCCAAGGGCAAAAATTCAGGAACTCACAAAAGAAGAAAAGCAAATTGGCATTAAACACATTTTTAAATGTTAGACCTGACTGAAAATCAAAGAAATATAATTTTAACTGAGAAGATTCTCTTTTTTCTCCTTTGTTCTTTTTGCCTGTCAAATTAGCATGGATGAATATGAAAGTGACTCACCATGGCGGCCAGTAGGCAGGGAACAGGCACGCTCCCATTTTGGTGGGGATATAAATTTTGGGCAGGCAGGCAGTCTGTCAGTTCCCATCAATCATCAAAGCCTTGAAAGCTTGTAATACCCCCTGACCTGAACATGCCATGTTTTTTCCTAAGAAAATACAGTGTCTTGAAAGACTTAGCTCTGAGGATGTTCACTTTGGTATTTGTCAAACTAGAGAAAAGCTGAAGTCAAACACACAGCAAACATAAGCATATGGCTTTCAAAAATATGTAAATGGTAGCACACCCTCCACACTATTCTGTGTCTTGCTTTTTCCACTTTTTGGTCAAAGAATTGTTCAATGATTGTGCGTACAGATCATCTTCACTCTTTTAATAGCTACACAGTAACATTCTGATAAAACATATCATAATTTACTAAGTGGACTTGGTAGTTATTTTTATTTTTTTAAAATGTATTTTTTAGTTATAATTGGACACAATATCTTTATTTTATTTTTATGGGGTGCTGAGGATCAAATTCAGTGCCTTACACATGCTAGGCGAGTGCTCTATTTCTGAGCCACAACCCTGGCCCCAGTAGTTATTTTTAAATGAAAAAGTAAGATTCAAAACCCATTTGTATAACATCCATTAAATGAACATATCAAATATGATATATCAAGAACTATGCAATGTTTTGAACAACCAACAATAAAAAAATTTTAAAAAAAGAACATATCATAAAATATCATCCAATTTTTAGGAAAAAAATAAAAATACATACACTTAGAAACAGTGGGACAATGTATATGCAAAAATTTGTATAGCAGATAACTTTAGGAGAAGGAAAGGGTAGGTTGGCTTCAATTAATGTGCCCTTTTATATTTTCCAAATGTTCTACAATAAATATGAACCTGTTTTATAATAGAATTGTCTCAGAAACCAGCAGACAAATACAGGAGGAAAACAAGAGGCCTAAGATTTTCTTATACCTCTGGATATGTTCACTTCACTTTGAAATCTTTAAGAAAATAGAAAAGTCAAAAATCAAAAGTTCATTTTATTTTTATTTTCCACTTAATTTTGGTCAAAGAATTGTTCAATGATTGTGCATATAGATCAGGAGGGTGGGGCAGGAGGATTAATCGCAAGCTCGAGGCCAGCCTAGGCAACTTAGTTAGCAAGGCCCTAACTAGAAATAAAATTTAAAAAGGGCTGGAGATGTAGCTCATGGTAGAGCACTTGCCTAACATCCTGGGTCTGATCCCCAATACTGCTAAATAAATAAATAGAAGTGTTTGTTTTGCTTTTGTGAAGAAAAAACTGATTTGCACACAATGCAACAGGAACAGATAACATGTAAAGTGTCAGGATCTTAGCTTTCCACTACAATCACTGGCAGGGGCAAGTGATACAAACAAAAACATCCAATTTGTCAGATAATCATAAATTCCTGCAGTTAAGCTAAAAATTAAGTTATATAAATGTTCTTTGATAAGAAGTAAAACAGCAACTAGGGCTTTGGGGCCTATGGTTCAATACAACCTCTGCACTGATTATCATTATGATCTGGTTGTAAAAGTTGTGTCAGCACACACACACTATCCAATCAAAAAAAGTTAATAGTGTGACTTCCAGTTTCTAACCTAGCACCTAAGAAGTGGCTCCATCTTGACAACATATAGAAAAGCTGAACAAATTGAAAAATCAACTGTGCTTCTCAGATCTGCAAGAGAACTGGGGTCACAGGAAACCTCTGCCCCCCAAAACTGCATCATCAATAGGTGAATATAGAGAATCACAACCCCCTGGAGCAGAAACCCGGGAATGGCCACTTCTCCAGACACCAGGGCCAGGCAGGGAAACCTGACTGTGAGGCGTCAGCATGCACAAGTCTGAAGGAAAAATCTTCCAGGGGACCCAGTCACAGCAGCCTGCACCTTTGTGACTTGTACCTCCAGGAGGTCCACTAGATCCTTATGGTAAATGTTGAAGAAAAATACCCTGTTGGAAGCAGGACAGGAAAGGGAGCCATTTTGAAAGGTGCCTGTGCTTGGTATTCTTCCTTACAAGGTCTGTCCTGGGGAAACTAGTTAACCAGACACAATCCTGTGGGGGTTTATCAGAGTATAACCTGTCGGGGTGAAGGTAGCCCCTTCCAAATATCTTGGCCCAACTAACGGGCCAGGTCACAGGGACTAAGAAGGAAGGTGGAGTTCATAGCCCAGAATCACAGGCTCCCAAAGACTGAGACCCAACCACAGGCCTATAGAACTCTCAGCACACCTGCACTCCACACACCTGACCACGATACCACTGAAGGCTATTCACACAGTTATTCCTTCTCTGAAGTACAACATGTCTGGCTATCAAGA